CAGATTGCGAGTCGAGTGCCTCAACCACCTGGGCATGCCGGGCCTAATGTCGAGTGAGTCTTAACAGTTACATTGTCGTTACACTGTTTGAAACGTTATATCTCGGTTAGTGAGTACAAATAAAGACGTATGAATATTCACAAGTATAATTTCTCGCCTAAATATATATATATATATATATATATCATGCCCTTGAAAGAAGCCCTTCATATTACTCCAAGTCTACAGTTTGGGTTGTGTTGTTTACTGTGTGATTATAAACGTAATATTACAACTGAGAAGGTAAGGCTTGATTCTTTGTTGTTTTTAGAGCAAAGCCATATTGGGCTATTTGCTGTGTTCACCGTGGGGAATCAAACCCTGGATTGTAGCGTTGAAAGTCCGGGGGACGAGAAGGTAAGAAAACGTGATTAAGACTTGCATTATTTTCGTTTACTTCTTCATATTAAGCAAAATGATCGTGTTTAAATTTTCAGATTAATTATAACTTACTTGAATTAAAATATATTATAATATACCAGTAGATGGGTCAGTTTCAGCAGGATTAATAAGGTAGTTTAAGGCATTATTGAGCCTGGAATATGTATATATATCAAAATAGTTAACTAAGATATTTCTTGGGGACTTAAAAACCGTATGGTGTAAATAAAGAATAGAATGCGTTATCGCTTCATGAACTGTTAGTACTCGAAATGCTGTTCGAGTTGGTTAAACGTAAAATACGGTTTTCGCTTTTTCTGACGTTCTCCAGACAGATAATTCTAAGAGTATATAGTTACCTCTGTGTAAAGCTACTCGGTGAACTCTCTCTACTGTATCCACTGCAGGGAATCGAACCGGACTGTAGCATTATAAGTTTGAGAACTTGCTATCGTCACACTGGGGAAGATCTTGAGTAATACTTTCCGCATAATACTTTATTCAAAAGTATATCACAAAACGTTTAATGACACTGTTTGAACGAAAGGTTTTATTTTAGTGAGAGTAGGTAAATACGCTTTTGTAGGTCCAGATGTAACAATATATATGTATGTAAAGTTTTGAAACTCGTTGTGTTAGTGTGTTAATTTTACAGAAAGATAACATCGTTTTATTAATATCCAGCAAATCTGTGAAAAGTGTTAAAGCTCCTTGTGCTAGTTTGTTAACTTACTGCCAGATAAAATCGTTTTATTAATATCTGTGAATAATTCTGACACTTCTCATGTAAGTTTGTTAATTTCCTACCAGGTAAAATATTTCTAAAGGTTGTTATTTCCTGATTTTCGAGCAAAGCTATGCAAGAGTTATCTGTCCTAGCCACCGCTAGCTTTTGAAATACTCTAACTGAATATTGGAATTCGATTGTCACTCTTATAACGCACCCAAGGCCCCAAAGGACGGATTTTTGATTTGGTTGTAACGAGCCGGGAACCTTGGATCCACGGGACGGTCCACAAACGATTGGCCCCGAGCTCGGTCCAGTTTCAGTGGAACTTAATTTATATGTTGAAAATAAATATAAAAGTATTGTCTGTTGTCTGTTATATGTACATGTAACTGCTTCGCAGGGTGTGGATGGATCTTCACCAAAATTGATTTGGAGGATCATTAGAACCATGCAGGGATACATGCAAATATTCAGTTTTGCTGTTTTTATGGGCGTTTTTTTTTTACCACTACTTTGCTCCCTGTTGGTAGATCTACACCAAATTTGGCATGAAGGTTTGTTGGGTCCATGTGGAGATACATGCAGACTTGCGGTTTCACATTTTGTGTTTTGCAATTCTTATGGGCGTTTTTTAAAGTTATATATATGGGAAGCAACTTTTCATGTCCTAGGATAACTTTTCATTAATCATAAATTTACATAACTTCTGCCCAGGAGATGGGTACTCTAGCTAGTTATTATTATTCTTTTTAGGCTCAAATTATTCGTAAAAAACTGAGACCATGCATTACAATTAGTTTCGCGTGCTTCAATTACTTGATAAAAACGTTCTTAACGAGAAAATTTTATATATATATAGTTAAACTCAGAACGGAATTTTCAGTTTTTGTTTTGTTTATCCCACTGTGCGGAATACCCAGTGCTTACTTATTATACCGTATTAAGTAACAAACCGTTTTTAATGAACCCTCTCTTATATTTTGACGTTTAATTTATCCTTCCTTTACTTTGTTGTTACTGGATAGAAAATGAACGGTAGGATTATAGAAAGCATTACGTTACACCTCCCAGCGGTTCAGCGATAAGTCTGAAGGCTTATAACGATAAAAAATCCGAATATCGACACCTTGGTGGGCACAATATAGATAGCCCATTGTGTAGTTTTGTGCTTAACAAGAAACAAGGTATTATGTTGTTTAATATAAGTAACAAGTCTATGCTTAGTCGAGATACATATAAACATTTCAAATGTCAACTTTTATTTTGGCAACTCCAAATCCAACTAATAATCAAAACAATACAATTTCACATTTCTTCATTTTTGCTATATTTCATTTGTCTCAGAAAAAAAACAAAAAAAAACATTCTACAAAGTTCTAGATTTTATTTTGTTGATCTAAACTTTAATTTCAGCAAGGAAAAATAGCATTTGCAACTACTTAAAATTATCAATCTTTCTAACAACCAGTAACCAGCTCTGGGTGGGAACAGGCATTAATATTTGTGTCAAAGACTGTTTTGATAGGACACTGGAATGTAAATATTTTGAAGGAGGACCCGTTTCTCACACACTGATAAAACCTTCTACAGTCTTTAGGATAGCGAAACATGCCTTCCTTTTCACAAACTAAGGTGTTACCATCATCAACCGTGGATCCTGGTTGTGGTGACTGGGTTGACCCTCCAGGGCTTGGTCCACTAGAGCTGGCCGTAGAACTTGCTTCTGGGCGACTTGTAGTGGTTACTCGCTCAATGGGTCCGTTCAGACCCTCTTGTAGAATGGTCAAAAGTGGATATCGTTGTCCATGGCACTTTCCATTAAAATCTTCAGTTTCCAATGACCAAACCATCCCTCCTCCAAGATCCATCTTTTTAATATAATCTGTCTATAATACATAATAGATATAGTATATATATATATATATATCGGTGTTTAGGTTCAAGTAAATTTAATAGGTAAATTTTCAAATATTTTGGAATTTAAAATTGTAACTCATTAAAGTATACATTTAAATTACCTATAAAAACCTAATGATGTGCCGCTATGTTTGAACTTGGTAAATTCGTTTCAGAGCTCACATAGAGAAGTAGGAACAAAAATGAAATTAAAAGTTTATAGTTTATACACGATTGTTTGTTGAAATTTCGCATAAAGCTACTCGAGGGCTATCTGCGCTAGCCGTCCCTCATTTTTGAGTGATAGTGTAGACCGCGGTGCTTCTCAACTGGGTGAATGGTTCACCCAGGGGTTTTGTTTATGTTATATTGTATTCATTCTAGTTGTAGTTTGATGTATATATAAGTCATAATAAAGAATTTAGCGCTTTTTATATTTTTTTCGAATTGGGATGAGTGAGCTGTTGTGAAAAACACTTAGGGGTGAATGATATTGGAAAATTGAGATGCACTGGTGTAGAAGGCAGTTACATACCGCTAACTCCTAGTTTACTCTTCACTAACGATTAGAGGGATTGACCATCATATTATAACGCCCCCATGGCTGAAAGGATGAGCATATCTAGTGATGGGATTCGAACCCACTGCCCGCAGGTTGCGAACTGAATGCCTTAACCACAAGAGTAGATTAAAAAATATATCATAAGAAACAATGTTAATGGTTTAAAAGTATTATAATGTGATTAAAAACAAATTTTTAACTGCTTACATAATATTGTGTCAACAATATTAATCAATTTTATAAAGCATGTTGCATGAAATATATAAAAGCCAGCGTCTGTCTTGTCAAAATGGACTTTTTTAATGTCTAAAATCCAATTTCTATCACTTTAATATTGTTTTCAATTCTAAAACTGTTTATAGAAACGCTTCAACAATTTTCCTTCTAACAATATTTTTATTAACGTGCTCCACGCAGTACATATGTAATTTAGAATCTCTGTATATTCTAACCCTTCAACAATTTTGTTTAAGCCTTTTTTCAGTGTAACACGATTTCTACAGCCGAAGCGTTGCAAGTAATAATAAAAAAAAGTTGTTATGAACGTGTGTTTGACATTTTTGAAATTTTTTTCTTTAACTATTATGGGATATTATACAATGGCTTTTACTATTATGGGTTGTTATAGAGTGGTTTTAATTATTATGGGATGTTATAGAAATGGTTTTTAACTATTATGGGATGTTATATTTTTTCTTTCATGAGAAACGTTATTTACTTCAGTCTAGTATATGTGATTCCTCACTTTAGGCTTAATTACAAAAAAAGGCTCATTTATCACATCGCGATAAAGTAAATTAGCATGTTCAACGACAGGTTTGGATTCCATGATCCGGTGATTGCGAGTGCAGCGCCTTAATCACCAGGCCATGCAAGATCCAATTTACATACGAAACTTTTTTAATACCTTTATCCGGAAGCTTTCAGCATCATCGTAGCCACACCACTGCCTGTCTTTATACATGTATGGTACCTTATGATGAGGATCTCTAACAATGGTCCATTGGCTATGCTTCAGGTTGGGACAAAGCTAAAAATGAATGTATTATTGCTATAATTAGAGCTTTTATAAAGACATAATGAGTCACCAATAACAAAAGAATAAAAGATTTGCGAAATGAGGTCCATATGAACCTCTTTTCCCTTTCAGACAGGAGGACCATGTGGACTCTTTCCGCTTTTAAACAGGAGGTCCATATGAGTCCTTCCTACCTTTTAAACAGGAAACCCATATGAACTTCTCCATTTTAAACAGGAGGTACATGTGAACCCTTCCTCCCTTTCATACATATTTATGTAAACTATTTATACCCCAATTTTGTTGTGGGTCCATGACTTAGTTGATTATTGGGTCCCTAATAAGTTAAGAATCTCACATAAGATATAAACAAAAATAACACAGGCCTGTGATGATTTTATTGCTTTAAAATTTTTACATGCTCTACAGTAATTCCTGTACGCTGAATCTGAAAATGATATTCATTTTTCTCCATCAGGTACAGATCGTTCACAAAACGACATATGTACTTTCACATAAGTGTATCATTTTCATTGAAATACGACCAAACCTACAATCTGAACTTAAAATTGTATATCTTTAAGTATTAGATAATATATTATACTTTTCCCATTTAACCTTTGGGCTGTAAGACTTTTTTTCTTATTTCATAGGTATCTTGATATCATTAATCTTATGTCGTACGATCTCCATGGAGACTGGGAAAATAAAACAGGTCACGTAGCTCCTCTCTATCCGAGACCTGATGAATCTCCAGAAGATAAGACTTTAAACGTGGTAGATGCAAGTTATACTTTTATGAAAATCTTTTAATAAGATTCTGGTGTATTTAGTCATTTTTCTTACGTACAATCTAAAATTTCTAGAAGAGAATCTCACGTTCACATGCACTGAATAGCGAAACATTTTCGTAAGTGAACCAAGTGTGTTGAATGGTTATATTAAAACTTGGTTTTTTGATATAATTAATATATCAATCACTGGATATTCATCTGAAACTTTCATTGAAACAAGCCGAACTACTCTTATAAAAAGACTTGTTTTTCTTCCGCACTTGTAAGGTCTAAGTAATAGATTTTTGTTTCATATTTTCTAATGTACAGATCTTTCACAAAACGACATATGTACTTTCACATAAGTGTATCATTTTCATTGAAATACGATCATATTTTGTTATGCTTAAAATGTTGACAACCACTGGCTATAGATATCTCTAGACCACTCGCGACGTGAGAATCTCATCGATCGTTCTAGAACCCAGAAGAAACACACCGCTAGCATATAAACGGTTAACAGGCCGCATGACGTGTCATTTCTATGCGTGCACTTTGAAAATATTTTTTCTTTTGAATATTATTTATTCGTCGTTATGGTAACAAGAGATTGTGTAAATGACCCAAATATACTCTGTTATATTTGTGGTAAATTTGTTGTAAATTTGATATGAGTGAGAGTTTTTTCTTCTTCCCGATTTCTAAAAAATCCTTACGTGATAGAAAAAAAATGAATATTGTTTTCAAAATCTTCGTAGTTAAATTACGGAAAATCCGTTATAAAACCAAAACAACTTTTATCAAGTTTAAATTCGCAGGCCTCTATAATAATTACCGGTACAGTCCCCTGTGTATTTCACGTTGAAAATGAATGTTTCAGTTCTATACACTCATAGCTATAACAGGTAAAAACATAAAATAAAAGATAGCTCACACCAGTTGTAAGCAGTATAAAGACAAGTCCATAATCTGAAGGTTAATTTTTTTTGTCTGATAGGACAAAAATTGTATGATTTGTTTTTATACACACACTCACTTCAATGTAGCCCATCATCCCTGGTTCTCTCGTGAAAGGTCCCTGTTGACCCGGTCCAGTTACTGGAGCATCGAACCCATTTATACTGGTGTCCTTCAAGGTAAAACAACGTCCGTACAAAGGAAGCCCCATCGTTATCTTTTTTGGATCAGCTCCATTTTTAATCCAAAAATTAATGGCGAAATCCTGACATTTAATAAATATCATTGTTAATGGAATGATAATATTTTATCATATTATTTATATCATATATTAAACATATGGTTTTTTAGGAAAAAATGGTAAGAAAACTATATGAAGCCTTTTTTAAGAAAAAAAGAACTTAAGATGGAATTTTTAATAAACAGTACGCCTAAAAATGTTTGGTTTAAAGTGGACGATATCATGTTTTGTATTTCAATATAAACATCCTTCGCCCAAACTACTAAGCATAGGTGATACATATAACATTTCCTACACCGTCAGTTCAATAACCTCAGGACTCAAAGTATCTATCTCAAGCGATATGTGGGTTTAAGTCACAATATTGAGATTACACGTTATCGGAAATAAATTATATCATCAATGAAAGTGCTGTTATGGCTTTATGATATACATTTAAGTGCAACTATCAAATGAAAAAATGTTTCTGGACGATGACGTTATCAAAACTAAGTTTACAACACTGATACAAAATAGAATAAAAAACTCTGATAAGACCATTCGGCTTGAAATGTAGAATTATTATTATTATATGTTTTTACAATGATAAAGTTCCGTTATGTCGTGCCTACAATGATAAAGTTTTGATATACCATGGTTACAATGATAAAGTATTGTTATAACGTAGCTGCAATAATAAAGTTTAGTTATATCGTACTTACAATGATAAAGTATTGTTATAACATAGCTGCAATAATAAAGTTTAGTTATAACGTAGCTGCAATAATAAAGTTTAGTTATATCGTACTTACAATGATAAAGTATTGTTATAACGTAGCTGCAATAATAAAGTTTAGTTATAACGTAGCTGCAATAATAAAGTATTGTTATAACGTAGCTGCAATAATAAAGTTTAGTTATAACGTAACTGCAATAATAAAGTTTAGTTATAACGTACTTACAATGATAAAGTATTGTTATAACGTAGCTGCAATAATAAAGTTTAGTTATATCGTGGCTATAATGATAAAATTCTGTTGTATCGTAGCTATAATGATGTATAATTTTGATACTTTACCACGTTGAATGTCTGGTCTTCTGGGGATTCATTCGGCCTTGGATATATGGGAGAATTATGGCCTGTTTTATTGTCCCAACCTCCATGGAAATCATATGTCATGATGTTGATGATGTCCAGATATCTATGATTGTCACAGAAATCAATAGCTGGTATAAATCAAGAACACTGAATGGGCGAAAATTGCTCAATCGTCAGTTTATGAAATTTGACATACATTTATTTAATATATGTCTATTTATATTCAAAATAAATATATCCTCTATATTTGAGTAGTTATGTATTGACAAGCGTTTCGTTTTTTCTCCAAACATATCAGTTTTAACTTATTGAGAGAATACGATAAATTATAGTTCAATAGTTACTAGGGATGTCAAAAGTTAATCCATTCACTAGGTTAAAACTTTTGACACAATACACCAGGTGGCATAAGCAGGTATTGAATGGTTTCGTTGGCAACGCTTGTTAAAAACTGTTTTTGAAATAATATTTTTTTAAGCCTTGAGGGTTGTTTTCTTGTTGAATTTCTTGCAAAGCGTTTCTGGTCTATCTTTGCTAGTCGTCCCTAATTTTCAAGTGCTTGCTTGTTTGTTTTGAAGTTAAGCACAAAGCTACACAATGGGCTATCAGTGCTCTGCTCACCACGTATCGAAACCCGGTTTCTAGCGTTGTAAGTCCGCAGACATACCGCTGTGCCACTGGGGGGCAATTTTCAAGAGATAGACAGCTAGTCAACACTACTTATTACCAGCTCTTAAGCTAACCTTTACCAACGAATAAAGGGATTGACTGTCGCAATATAACGCCCCCACAACTGAGAAGGTGAGCATCTTCAGTGATGGTTTTTGATTCCGTCTCCTATAGATTGCCAGTCTTGCGCCCTAATGACTAGGCCATACGCAAGTGGTTTACTTTCGTATACTGCTTAAACTAGAGTTTATGTGTTAGTCTAAGAACCAAGGCAGCCTCTTGAACTTTGGTGAAGAAAAAAGCCTGTTTTGCAAAGGCCTACAACAAAATAATGCTAACGCACTGATGGAATAGTCATCTGTCTTACTGCAAGGTTTGATCTCCTACTTGGATCTGGAAATTAAGAAAATGAAGATGTATGTTCCACAAAAAATTAATATGGTTTCTTGGCCATCTTTAATTTTTTGTGTAAATATCCGAAAATTTTCCAAATATATCATACAAAGTAAGAAAATGTTAGATTGCACAGTGTAAACGAAAAACAAAAACTATTCAACTTTAGATGCATATAACTCTAAACTGTAACAAAAATACTTTTATTGAAGTTACTCGTTTTGCAGGCATTAAAAGTATCAAACATACTGTGGGTGTGAACGTGCTTTATAGTCACTATGAGAAAAACCTATACACTGTTTGATACCTTTCACTATGATATAGGTCTAGCTTATTTCTCTTTGGTTAACTTGTGTTCAGTGTTACTGCTGAGGAGTGGAAGTTTCCGAAATTAGTATAACACATGTTGATCAAAGTGTAGATTGAAGTGGACCTCCCTTGAACTTAGACATCGAAATTAAAAAAATTTCGGAATAGTAAGTTTATTTATTATATCTGCTATTGTGCGGCTATATAATGTGAGGAACTGAGTAATGACCAATGACAGATTTTCTTCGCTTCACCTATCCAGTGTATAGATTTTTCTCATAGTGACTGCAAAGCACTTTCACACCCACAATTGCTTACCAATCATTTTAACACCCGCAGACCCTCCTGCATGCTACAATTAGATTTCCAGCGTGCTTTTGACTCTGTTTGGCATCAAGGTTTACTCCACAAATTGCATATGTTACATTTTCCTGTTCTCTATATTCGTTTAATTTCCTCTTTCCTCCACTGTCGGCCAGCCGTGATTTCTGTTGATGGGGTGGGTTCTCTCTTTCGCTCTTTCACGCTCCATGCCGGAGTCCCTCAAAGGTTCTGTGTTATCCCCTCTTCTTTACGTTCTCTATGTCGCTGATATGCCATACTCCCGGCCCCTCTTCAGTTGTTTCAATATGCTGATGACACTGCATTGGTGGCCCACTGTTTCACTATGTCCACCCTAAATAAGCTGCTCCGGGCTGCTGTAAATTCGTTTTTGTATTGACGTCAATGCTGGCGCTTTATGCTTCAATGTCCCTAAGACTCGAGGCATTATTTTTTGGCTCGACACAACGTAAGTTACCCCCCTTGCCGTGACCCGTCTCTGTTTGACGTCCGTATTGACAATGTTACCATACATCTTTCTGACTCGGCGACCTCTTTGATAGGCATCTTACCTGGAAACCACACCTATCCGCCATTTCTGTTAAGGTTTATCGCAGTCTTCATCTACTCTGTTCTCTAACCGGTACATTCTGGGGCCTAAACCCTCCTGTACACGCATAAGACCTTCATCAGACCTGTGGCCTGGATTTCCGCCTCTCGCTTTCAGATTCTGGAGCGCCATGCCCTACGGCTTGCTTTCCGTATTAAACTCCCGAGTCTCACTACAGAATTCTATAGCCGTATCACCTTTCCTCACATTCTGCTTTCGACAACTTCGTACTCGTTATGTCAATAAATGCCTTCGTGACCAAAATTTCATCTTCTCCGACATTCTCGCCAACACAGTTTATATACAAAGAAACATTTTGGCACCAGCCGATCATCTACTGAATCTTTATGTTCTGTCCCTCCTACCTGACAATCCCAATCATGTTGAAGTACCGATGTCTTCTCTTCCCCCTTTTATCTATTCTGAGTCCTAATACTCATGGACTCCATTGCCAGTTCCCACAATTTTTTTATTGCGTGAAATAGCCCGAACCGTGTACGCTTTGATTTCTCCAGATCATATCCTCTCCTTGCCCATAACGCTATACTTCAATTCCCAACTTCCACCTCCATTGCTGATTTTGCTCTTTTACCCACCTCTTATATTCTCCATTTTTATCTATGTCACTTAGCCGACGAGAGGGCGTAATCCTCTACCCCCCGAGATTGGAATGAAATAACGCGTATGTTGTTGTTTCTCTTTGGTTAACTTGTGTTTGTTCAGGGTTAGTGATGAGGAGTGGAATTCTCCGAAACTAGTATAACCTAGTAACACACGTTGATCAAAGTGTGGATTGAATTGGACCTCTCTTCGGAATACTAAATTTATTTATTAAAAGGCATATTAAAATACCCGATGATTTTCAGTAGCCACAGGAAGATTTACTATACCAGAAACTACATGTTTTAGATACTTTTATGCCTAATCACGTACCTTTTATTTATTGTTAATTGTTAAACGATTATCTTCCACTCAACTTTCTGATATCAGAGAACTCAGATCAAGTACTTGCATATTTAGCACATCCTCAGATCTTAATAAACATAAATGGTGGTTAGAAACTTTAATCTTGGGTAAAAAAAAATTATGTTTTTCGAAATATGTACAAATGTTTGGTTTGTTTGAAGTTAAGCACAAAGCAAAACAATGGGCTATCTGTCCTCTGCCTATCACAGGTATCGAAACCCGCATTCTAGCGTTGTAAGTGCGCAGACATGCCGCTGTGCTACTGGGAGGGAGGAGAGTATAAAAAGATGAAAACAAATTTGTATGAATGCTTAACGTAAATAGCATTACAGTAACTTACTGTGAAACTTTAGGGATGTCGTAAGCTGTTTCCACAGTTTTCTTTCCAGCCGAGACGGCGGCAGTCAGTAAAAGACCATGTGGAGAGAAAGCTTGCTTGAGCTCCTATATGAGAAATTTATATTCAGAAAATTGCTCAGTAAATATATATAGAAACTATGCTGTCCCCCCCATAAAAAAACAAATGATGAAAATAAACTGTAAGTATATTACATTAAAATTAAATGGACTTTAATTAATTAATTCATTTTGCTTCAGATTATTCCTAGGTTAGTCTTAGTGCTTTCAAAAACCTTTCTTCGTTAGTAGTAAACTGGGAGTGACTAAATAAAGATACGTGTGAGAAAAGGGGATGACGTCATGACAGATTACCATGACAACCCAGAAGTTAAGCCTCATTCTTTAGTTCCTCATTCAGCTTATTCCTTTTGTTTGTACTTTAGATGAATTGAATTATATTAAAGTTAAACAATATACTGAGAAGTTTAAATTCAATATATATATATTTAATGTGTGAAATTCATAATATTGAATAAGCTATTGTTACGTAATTTATCAATTTAAAACCACACATGCTTGCTATATACCGAATACTTTTGGGGGAGCCTGAATATCTGAGACAAAATACAATATTTAAATACAAGCAATGATCAAACAAATTTCTATGCCTATGAAAACTATATTTTTACGTATTGTTACTTTTATTTTTTAACATCCTCTTACAGTCAATATCAGATTTTCTGGCTCCTGATGGTAATATTAACCCGACTCTGCGTATTTTGAAACGCCACCACAACAATATAATACAAAAGCAATTTGTTTAGTACAAATGTACAGTCCAAACAGCTGTGAATTCGGCGAAACTAGTATGTTTCAGCATGAGTAGCGAATCAAAGAACATATTAGGATTTTATGTCACCTTTTCTTCACTGATGTTCACGTTTTGGCGAAGAAAAAAAATTAACAAATACGGAAATAGGTGGTTATAAGTTTTTAGTACAAAACCTAACTTCAACTTGAACCACAAAAATATGTCTCTCACTTACTCACGGTATGTAAGAGGAACTTAATGCCGATATATGACTGCCGCGTCATTTTACAACCGTACTAAATGACTACCGGTGCATTTTACTGCCGGCATGTTTTCTGCATGTATAGAAATTATATTATCGGAATATTAAGTTTGTTTGTTTTTGAATTTCGCGCAAAGCTACACGAGG